TATGATGGTACAGATGGTTGTTTAATATCATCTTCTTCATATTTTTGATATCTATTAAATCGATAAGCATTTATTATTGATGAATATAATCGATCGAAAAATAAATTTAATGATATTGGTTGAAATATATCAACTGTATTAGCTTTTGTTTCAGTTGTACCAGTTTTTGATAAATTATCATTTGTTATATTTGATCGTCGACATTTCATTATAAATAATGATATTAACTATAATATTAATTAATAATATAAATAAACAACATACAGCAACAATAACAATAACAGTTAATGAAAATCTTGTTGTTCTAACTGAATTTGTAAATGAATAAAATAGTAATGTTGGTAAATAACGTGATGTTAAAATTTTTATTTCATTTGTCAAATCACTTAAATGATATGAATTATTTGCACGTATATTTATATAATATTCACTAGTTAATTATAAATTTATTAAATCAAATATGTTACATCTTTATATGAATAGCGATCATTTGTTGAAAGACGATAACGAATTTGAAATGTTTCACGTGAATCACCATCAAAACCAGATATCGAACTAATTAATAATGATGAATAAGATATATTTGTAACATAAACTTGTATTGAAACATCGGGTACAGTTATAAAAAGAAAAAAAAATAACTACTAAATATTATTACATAAAAAAAAAAGAAACCATGTATGAGTTATTGGTATTGGATAAACACTTGCTTCTAGTGTAATATTAAATGATTGATTTTCTTTCACGTCAGTAAATGCATCAAAATCATGAAAATATGGTTTATCTTTAAAAGAAAAATATTATCAATAATTAAATCAATGATTTAACTAAAACAAAAATTAACTTACAATTAACATTAAGTACATGAATAACTTGTTTTGTTAATAGTAGTATATCAATATCTAATGTTGCTTCATATGTTAATAGATTTCCACGTAGAGAAAGACCAATTCGACGTAATGAGAAAAAAAAATCAATATTAATTCAATATTGTATAAAAACAAAAACAAACACTGACCATAAATTTAATTCTACTAGTGTAAATGCTTGGTGTATAATATGTAATATCTGAATGTTTTATTCCATCATTTGATGGTCGAATTCTAGTTAATTTTACTTGAGGATTAAACATTTTATAATACAAAAAACATATGATTTTCCTTGTTGATATAAAATATTGATGATTTCATCATAATAAAATAATAATTTTTTTTTTTTGCATTGTATATAATAGCAGAGAAACATTTGACAACATTCATCGACAAGATAATGACGAATATCGTCTATATGATTCTGTACAAGACAATGACCATGTTTTTTTCTCAATCTCATTCAATATGTATATTGATCATGTACATTTTGATGATCAATAATTACATATATATACATAAAGTGTACAATCAATTAAGCTTTATGTATAAGCATATATGGAATGAAGTTTAATTGATAGCTTCTATTAATAACAATTCTATGGAGAGTGGAAAAAAAAAGAAAATTGTGTCTCTCCAGAGAAAAAATAACTCTCTTCAAGTGTATATAAATGAGTGTTTTTTCAATGTAAAAATTATTCATCTACATGAATCAACTAACAAATTTTCTTATTATATTTTAGGATGAACTTAATGGTACAAAACAAAACAATATCAAGCAATACAATATAAAAATGTGGGTATTATTTTAATTTTTTTTTTCTTATTTTAAATTATATATATATCATTAAGATTAATGGGTTAGCGATATGCAACCTGTTAATTTTTCTGAAAATATGTGTTTTTTTTCTTTTCTCTTTTCAGTAGATATAATAGAAAGTAAGTCTTATTTTAAATTTAAACAAATCTAAATAAATTTTTTTTCTTTTTCTTTTAGATAGTCATCGTCTTACATTCAATATCAATTATTAGAATTGTAAGTATACATTTCTTTTTTTTCTTTATAGTTAGAGAGAGAGAGTGAGATAGAGTTATGAGTGTTAGTTAGATCGTCTTCTCAGGTTAGACGTTAAACACTGGCCAGGAACTATCTTGGTGTCCGTGGCACACGACCAGGCTTATTCAGACTCATTGACATATCTCTCGCGGGGAGGGTATGAATGATATGAGTCTGTCCTGTACGTGCATGAGCGTTACGCTCGACACGGCTCCATCAGGATGGTTCCTGGTCGCACGCGCGAATAGAATAAGCTATTCATTTCATCAATTCAATGCGATTTATTTGAAATAAAAGGGACGCAAAAAAAAATCTATCACGACGAGTCTATTCAATTGAAAAGCGTTGAACACGACAATTCAAATAATCGACGACATAGAGATTGGCACGTTGATCGAAGGACAAACCACGGAGATTTTTGAACTGATTTGCTCCTTCTCCTCTACCATTTCCACCCACAACGACAGTGCCTTGTATCGCTTCTTTAGGCCAACGCATCACTCGATTATTTCCCGAGTCTGCCACATAGATGGTACCCAATGTATCGACGAATAGTCCTTGAGGGTACCACAATTGTGTCAGAGCATTCCCTTCGCCTTGACCTCCAGCGGCGACAATTCCTTCTTTTGCACCTTTATTCCATTTCATTACACGATGATTGTAGTTGTCTGACACGTAGACAGTCTGTTGTTGATCGACAAAGATGTAGGTCGGAAAGTTGAGTTGATTGAGACCAGCACCTTTGCCATTACCACCAGCTACAAGAGTTCCATTCTTGTCTCCTATTTGATATCGTCTTACTTCATCTTTGTCGGTGTCAGAGATGTAGAGATATCTCTGATCATCCATGACCAATCCATAAGGATCGATGTCGTTGATGAGGATTTCTCCTTGAGTTGTACCACTACGACGAGACCATCGTACGACTCGTCCAGTGTCGCAAATAATGAGACTATCCGTCTCTTTGTCGATCAACACATCGATTGGTTGATACAATTGATCCAATCGATTTCCTTTGCCATTACCACCAGCTACTACTTGTCCATTCGTATCACCCATCTTCCATTGGATGATACGATTATTGTCGAAGTCAGCGATGACCATCGTTTGATCATCATCAACGAAGAGACCATAAGGACAGTAGAGTTGATTGGTGGCACTACCCTCTCCATGGCCTCCAGCAACAGTCACGCCGTTCTGTTCCCATCGGGCATCGACTGGAATATTGGGAATTACTACAATGAACAAAAAAGAAAAGAAATTGTCGTTGCCGAAGGGACTCTGTCTCTCGTGAGAGCAAGCGCTATAAATATGACATTCGTCTTTGAGAATGCTCATTTCACAGATAAAAATTCAGAAGTATTTTTCTAGTTTCTTATGAGAAAAAAAGGATTTGGTAACGATTCTTACATCTATGTTACTTCTAGTTTTTGCCAAAATCTTTTTGATCATAAAAACAACATCTGGAGATTGCTGTAAGGAAGTTCTCGAAGAAAGAGTAATGCTAGTTCCATGTAAGCTTTTGATAGAAAAACATAAGGATCTGAGGATTTTATTCAGAATTGCAAGAATTCAGAATCTTTTTGGCAGAATGATCATTTATATGAATATCAGAGAAGATTCTATCTGTATCTTGTGAGAAGAATATCGAACCGTTGATCAACAAAATATCAAACCTAATCCCTATGTTTTTTAGGAAACCTTAAGGATACATGAGTGTCTGTATGATGAATGTAGATCTGCCGAAGAATCTCCTAAGTATTTGCATAAGCTTTTGTTAAGTTATGTCAAGTTGTTCGAAGAACAACCATGATGTACTCTGAGTAAGATCATGAGAAGGCTTAGATACCATAGCTTCTCAAAAGAGGTACTTTTTAATTAAACATACAGCTATTTAAAAGGGGTACAACTGTTTAAAAATATCATAGCTATTTAAAATTTCACATGGTTATTGAAATTACTACAGCTATTTTTTTACTATGAATTTTAAAAAAAAGTCGTCTGTGTAAAATACATTCACTCTGACACAGACGACGATTATGGTACAATACAACAGTTTGATTCTTTGTAAAACTCTTTTTCGTGCCTAGTTTCATGATCGAAATATTCAATTTGTTTTTTGCAACCCTACTCAATTATATTATTAAAAGATATACACACTATATAATTTAAATGTATTTCCAAATCATAGTAAAATTATATAGTTTCTTTCATTTTCATCAAACTCTGCTAATGATCTGATAAAAGGAACATACAAGTAACTAAAAAGTTTAAAGAGATTTAAAAATGCTAGTAAATGTTTTTTTTTTCTTTAAACACTGTTCAATGTCATGGTAAAAAAATAGAAGCTAATAGATGATTTACATACATGTAAAAAAAATAATAAAATCATACACTTTTTTTTTCTTCAAACGCTGCGCAATGATATGATATAAAAATACAATCTAATAAAGGATTAGATGGATTTAAAAAAGATAGCAAAGTCCTTTAATTTTTTTTTCATCAAACTCTGGTCAATCATCTAATAAAGAAAATATACAAGGAACTATTTAATTTAAACATATTTAAAAATCAAAATAAAATTATATCTTTTTTTCTATTTTTTATCACTGAATGGTAGCACAAAGATATACACGTAACTGTATAATTTTAATATATTGAAAAATGTTAGTAAAATTGTATTAATTTTTATTTTCATCAGACGCTACTAAATGATACAATAACACAAATACAAAGTATTAGAAGATTTAAATACATTAAAAAACGATACTAAATTAATATAACTTTTTTGTACTTTTAAAAATGATAATAAAATGATCTAATTTTTCTTTTCACCAAACTTTCCTTATTGGTTAGATAAACGAAAAAAAACAACTATATAATTTAAAATTATTTACAAATGAAAGTAAAAGGATATTTTTTTAATAATATGTTGTTCAATGGTATAATAAAGAAATACAAGCTACTAGATGATTTAAATATGTTTAAAGGTGATAGTAAAATCATATAATTTCTTTTCACCAAACGTTGTTTGAAAGATTTCAGTTTTCTTGTTTTAGGAATGGAATAAACAAAATAAATTATTCATATAAAAAAATACTTAAAAAAATAAATTTTATTCTCCTATACAGTTTATTTACAAAAAAAAATTTACATTTTATGTTTTCTATCGTGTGGTGAGTTATTGTGGCGTGCACTCAAAATATAAAATTCATTATAGTCTTATTATATCTGTGAATTGTATTGTTGTTAAAGCGATTCTATTTTGTATATTCAATGTCGACTGAAATAGGTTTGTCTCAAATAAGTTTTTATATACTTAAATTAGATACATTTATTTTAGTATTGTCATCAGATTCTGAAATATCAAACTATACGAATGAAAATATTGCAATAGAATCAGATTCAATAAATAAATCATTATTTTAATACTAGAAATATGTTCGTTTTGGTAGTAGAAAAGAAACAATAGAATGAATTCTCTATTCTGAGGAAGATGAGTAGATATATAAAACTGTTTTGATTTATATGAAATAATAGTAATTAATAAATAAAAAGCTAAATGAAATATGTAATTACTTATTAAATATTTAAGAAGTCTCAGAATAATCAATATTCTAGAAATTATATATATGATATTTCTGAAATGTACGAGAATGTTTCCTCAGTATATGTTTAATTGCATAATTGTAATGCGATTAAAAAATAATACGAACCGAAAAGGAGAAAAAATCGTAATTAGAATCAGTCATTGTAGTATAACGAATAATAATATTGATCTTACATATTTACTGTTTTAAAATTTCTTTCATCAAAATTAAGAGAAAGAATTTTAATGCCAAATTTTGATGTAGATTCAATAACAGCAATATCTAATATATCATCAAGTAGAGAAAATAATCAATCAACTAATGTTATTCAAAGTAATTCAGGCTCTGTTGTGTTAATCTAGTATCTTTTTTGTATATAGCAACTATTGATGATTATTTTATTGAAGATGTTAATTTATATCAACGGATACATGAAGTTCAGTTTTGTAAAATCCGACTCGCTCATCTCTGTTTAGTACATAAATGTCGATTCTGATCAATACCCAGGACTACCTCTCTGGAATATTAGAAATTACTACAATGAACGAAACAGAAAAGAGATCGTCATTATCGAAGAGATTTTTGTCTCTCATACACAAGAAAGTACTATAAATGA